CATCGTAGCACCCAAATCAACCGCCAAGTTGAGAAGAACGCTTTCAAAACCAAAATAAGATCTGCAGGCGCATGAACAACGCAATGTAGTATACAAACTACGTTGCAGAGATTACGAAAGGGATTATGTTGGCCAGACGGGAAGAAAACTGGCAACAAGGATACAAGAACATAAAAGAGCCTGGGTAAAGCATTATGCATCGTCGCTAGTTTCATTGCACCTAGATGATGAGGGACATCTCTTCGATTGGAGCAAAACAGAAGTCCTGGCACGTGGTGTAACCAAAATAGAAAGGGAATTCTTAGAAGCTTGGTTCTCAACGAAAAACTCAACCAATATGGGAGTCGACATCAATTCAATATACCAATCACTTCAGCAGAAAGAAATAAACAACATTTTGTCACACCGTTTAAGGCACAACAACTCAGGCGCCAACTTCAGTCGTGGGGAAAGTGGGTAGAGGTCACGGGACGCAAGTCGAAACTGCCACTTTCAAAAGTCACCTGCAGGTCGATCACGGATGGACGATTCATTCAGTAAAATTGCACGCCGCATCTCACTGCAATGAGGATGCCACTTCGCATGGTGGCGAAACATTTGCAAGAAAACGGACAAACTCTGAGAACAAGTGAACAATTGGGTCACCAACCCGAGCCACTGGTATTTCGAGATATTGTAGACGATAGGGAAGTGAGTATCAGTGTCACAGCCAAACTGTGATCTGCAACTCGAAACGACGTTGGTTAACAGCCAATGCAGTTAGCGAAATGATGTATTAAAAGAAATGTCCTCTAATAAGCTCAACACGTTTACAAAATCCTACCTAAATTCGGTTGTTCTTATAACATTTACCTTTCCATCTGCATCCATTGCTTCGATCCTGGGTTGCTGGCCTCCGTTGATCCAATACAAGAGACCGAATCGAGGATCAACAACAATGTTCATGGGCTGATCGTCTGAGGACAAATAGGCCAGTGTTTTGCGCCTTCCGTGTGTCGCGTCCACCACCTCAATGGTCCCTGACGCGCCGTTCGCCACGTACACAAGTTCATGCACCCAATCATAGGAAATAGTGAGGAAGGACGCTGCTCGAGGAGCAGTAGTTTGCTCGGTGAGTGACAATAGAGGTCGGAGAATATACGAGGACGCATGCTGTCCCGTATTCTTCTCATCAGGAGACGCACGGATCATAACCGACCAAGGTGCACCGTAGCTGAGCAGCAGCTGTAACCTCCGACTTCTATGACGATCTGTCAGTAGGGAATAGTCGAAGTCACTGACGACTGGCAACCACTGAGAACTCTGGCCCAGCAGGTTACTTTGTTCGTTGACATTAACCGGACTCCAAAATGCCTAGATGAGAAAGGGAGCGGAAGACAAACATGATTCAAGTCTCATACAATGCTACGATGTACCGAAAACAATAACCCAACGGTGTCCATCAGTGCTGTTTTGAGGAACACGCCAATTGGTAGAACCGTGAGGTCGAAATGCCTTGTGATGACAAATATACGTGAGATAAATATTGCAAGCGTACAAAACAGGTCGACTCGAAACACAGGACACAGCTAGTGACTAAGGCCAGTTTTGCCTGTAGTTGTCCGACTTGATTCGGCGCGCACCTCAGACAACACGTCATAACGAGTAGACTTCGGCGTTGTGGACTGCACCAGAGCGACAATTGGCTCGACTGTGCTCAGAGAGCCGAAATGAGGAAGGAGCCTAGACTAACGCTACCACGGAAGAAAAGAACAAACTTTTGGGAGAAGCAAGAACTAAAAACCCGAACAACGAACAAACAAACTTGCCATAAGTGTTAAGTCTGCTATCCTGACAAGGCGTTCGAGGCTATGCTTGTGGGCATAGGATGAATGAACAATGAACAATGAATGTATACGGGTTAAGAATCACTGCTTCACAAGTCCCACTGGATAGTTGGTGGGGATATTGAAATAAAAATGATAATGAGATTAGTACTAATAAAACAGTACTTTAAATGTGCGAAAGGCCCATTCGTTTATTCCGGTGTACTGCTTCAATCCGTTTTGACTCATAGCACACACAGTTAACATGAAATAAATTAATGATAAACTCCAGGTGTAAGATCGAGACGTAGTGCTACTGCAAGGTATTACTATCGCTTGACAGCTGCGTCCTACTTTCGGAATGGAAGGCGGAAATCAATTATCCGGTTTTTAATGGTGGTGACAATGCTCTGCCCGCGAACTATCGGCCTGTCCGTTTGAAAAGTGTAGAAGTCGTTGTTTGAAAAGCTGATAAGGGATTCGGGGGAGAACCACCTGAATAGATTCCACCTTCTCAGTGTTGCGTAACATGTATTCCACAAGGGATTTTCGTGTCAGACTAATCTAATTGTAGCGCGTGAAAGCTGGGCCGGAGCGCTAGACAGTGGCCAAACTGTACACGCGCTATTCATGGACTTTTCGGAAACTTTTGACACTTCCTCATCTTCCACTCTCATTAAACTTGAGATCTTACGGGATATCTGGTCGCGCCCTAATTGGGTGTCTGCTGTCCTTGAGCGGAGGGAACAGTGCGTATGGGTGACGGTAGCCTTTCGCTCAGGAAGCTGTTCTTAGTTCCGTCCCACAGAGCTCGGTATTGTGGCCATGGTTGTTCGCGATCTATGTAAATGACTTGACGGGGGAGCTAGAAGTGTCATCACTAATGTTTGCTAACGACCTTAAGCTTTGGAATATTATGAATATCCTGGGGGGACCTGAGGCAATTCGGGGTGCTTTGGATAGACTCTGGGAATGGTCCACCTTATGGTTGATGCCCATAAATAGGGCCAACTGCCCTGTTCTCCGAATCGGAGCTGCTAATCCTCGCACCCGATATGTTATCGGTGGTGGTGAACTCCCTGTTGTCACATCAGCACTTCTTTCTGGCGACAATTGGAAGGAGGCTGCTTGTCGGAGGTTTCGCATGATGTCGTTTGTCCTCCGCTCTCAGAGTCCAAATGGCCAATCGGTTTGTGAAGCTATTCTCGACCATCGTCCGACCCCACCTGGAACATTGTATCCATGTCTTATCCTAGACAAAATTGACTTGGAGAGGGTGTTACGAGTGCCCACTCGGTTAGTGCAGGGCCCACTGGGACAGGCGTATCCTGAACGCTTGCTTAGTTTGGGGATGTACTCCATGCACTACTGAAGGATAAGAGGGTACCTGATTCTCACTTATCGTGTTCTGAAGGGTAAGATCGGCCCGGACTTGTCAGGGCTATTTAGTCCAGCTAAGTTACCTAATCTCCGCGGTCATCCAGTGAAACTGCATAAACCACCGTCTGATAGGATTAGGACGGCGATTTGTCTGCCGCGCTGAATTATATATCGCTGGAATTCGCCACCAGTTCATGTGATTAGGGAACCCACGGTTAAGGCTTTTGCGTGCCAGCTCGATGCTCTTGGGTGGCAGCACAAACTTTTCCTTTTTCCTGACTGACTCACCTTCAGTGTTCAGTTCTCTTGAACTGACTCCAATATCTTGGTATTCGACTTGCCTAGCTCTTTCCACTATCTCTTCTTGCCTTCTGAGTTTACCTTTTAATCTTTCTTAATTCACGGAACCGGCCCAGAAGGGACTGCTAGGGCAGGATACTTGGACATTAATTGGTTGGACAAAGTGTGATGCGGTCTTTGTTTAAAGTTCATCTGTATTTCAAAGTCTGCCTACTCCTGGTTCAACAACCCGCAGAAGAAGGAACACACACGGGATAATCCTATCGTTCCAGTCCCAATTGCACTTGAAAAATTCGTTAAGTTAATGCATTAAATTGCCTACTAGTTAAATAGTAAGATGACGTATAAATATCTGTGGCATTGTGTCTGTAGGAGAGAAACACCAAGGTCTCCCTATAATATCCATCCTTTAATTAACACCCGCTTTTCTTTTCGTAATTTTAGACAGAGCAATTATGGCTTACAAGCTCTGCTTCATCTGCCACGCAGGCGTAGCATAGGGAGCAGTCCACCTCGGGCGGCATGTGAGGAGTGGCGGCTTACTTAGTACCGTTGGTTGTTTGACACCGAATATAAAGGGCAAATTTTCCAGATAAGCTGTGGGGTGAATAAGTTGATATTACTATGTATGGCCAATAACACGTTCACGTCATTTGTCACGCCTGTGCAAACCTTCTTCCCAACCATCCCCTTAATTATCCCATTGCGGTCACTTTCAGAACGCATTTACTTCAGTGTACCAAACAATCATCCATGTCACAGAAAACCAATGTGCACTATACCCTGAGCCGACCGTGTGGCCTTGACGCGACTATCCTGCGCTCAGTCCGGGCGAAACTTTTACCACTGCCCCGGGCGGCGAAAGTAGTTGCTACGCCGCTGATCTGCCATACTTGTCTCTCGACCATCAGCCCTAGTTCGAATGGATTGATGCTAATGGGCATATGGCTGTCTGCCCAACAGTAGATGTCTCAGTGGTTTGTCAAATTGCGTTCATTACGTGCGTACTTCGATGGGAAAATTGGTTGCGTTCGTTTATTAGCCCACATTGCCAGTTGCACTGACCTTACGGTAATGAATGCCCTGTTTGTTAGGAACAGGTTGACTCTTCTTCTATGTTATAGTGGTGTGAACTCAGCCTCATAAATTCTGCTTCCAGTATTACCACGTCCGCATTAAATAAACTTCCGACTCATTAATTCGGGGACCATAACTCTTTTCCGTCCGATCAATTATACAAACTACACAATTACCCCATACATCCAAGGATACCACCTTAGACCCACTTAGATTAATCTTAATCCAACTTATTCTGCTCCGCTTGTTTGCCGTATAGACCACAATTGACTAAAAACAACCGTTTCTGTATCAGTCGTTCGTTGTAGTGGGTAGTTGTCTTTGTGGATGCTCTTACGCTGTAACGAGATCAGCAGACGTATACAACACAAACTAGCTAGCCTCTCGGATTGGCCAAATGCTGCTGAAACATGTGTCAGTTTTCGTTTGAGAACTCACCAATGGAAAGGAGGTAGAATGTTGGGATTCGATGTGTTGTATGTGCAAACGAAATAGCATCGCCGATTCGCTTCCGATGCTCCTTTGAAACAGCTGACCGTTCTCCACATACAGTACCGCTAGGTCTCCGATGGCGATACAAGAACGCGGTTCTCCGGGAGGCTTAATGTAGCCTGGAAAACAACTGCACACTACGCCACTCGGTGTGGGGTTGCAAACCTGTAAAGGGAGTAAGACAACGGGTTCAGTGCTAACATCCAATTGGGAAACTTTTGAGGTTTAGTTATACTACTGATGCGTTTGCGAGTATGCATCACACCTTTAGCGGCATCGATTCGTAAGTGCCGCAGCATCAAAGCGACCTCATCGTTTCCAGTGCTGGCCAAATTGGTGAGATTTGAGACACGGATTAATAACCTTTACTATGGCAATAGCCGGGTCAATCAATTGCACCGAGATGATCGCTACTGCCGCTGAGTAAATACATTGGTGATGTTGTCACCCGGGTCAGTGGAGCGAGAGACAGTCTAAAGGTTGATGTCTCCATCACAGAGATGTATGCTACTGGTCAAATAAATTAACATAGTCTGAATAGGAGGTGATCAATGGGGATACGTGTGGTGAGAAAGCAGAGACTGGGGCAAATGGCCATCATACCCCATGTGGCTGGATGACTGTAGCGCAGCAACAACAAGTATACCGGAGGTGAATCGACTTAACACCACAAGATCGCCAACCAGTCAGCGGAACTATGTGAAAAGGGTTTACGACGTTTACTTTAAAAAGCGTGTCGACTTTTTCCGCGAAGGATTGATCGAAAACAATTGTTTACATAAAGCTTCGTGTTTTGTTTCTCTTTCCGAACTTGTCAAATAGATCTGTTCTCGAAGCTTAGCTTAACCTTTCATGCCTACGCAAAGATACCTTATAATAAGCATAAGGCAAATGAGCACCTAGTAGAGAGCCTGCAGTCAAGACAAGTTCATCGAGGACGCAGCTGTTTGCGTGTTCAAGCGGCTAGTTGATAGACACTAATAAAACAAGGGTCTCAGATACACAGCGTTTCACTCAAGGAGGGATTTACGGAAAATGTGGTGCGACGATACACGTTGACACAACACAGAACGGCGGATGTGCAGATGTGGTGTGTCGTTGGCCTGTCAGGTAAGACTGGATGCGGGGGTTAGTAGTTTTGTCTGTCAGACTCTACGTAACCTTTCAAGTATAACATCGACTAGGTAGGACCGATAGACTCATATTTCACAACTACGAAGGCGATTGTAGATGGAATGTTCCGCATTCGGATGTCCAACCCACTTGGTGCATCCATCTTTCGATCCTATTGATCACATCCAGTTAGACAGTGACACAGGTCAACCAATTACCGGTGATTCATGGTCATTGAAACATCTAACCTAAAACTGATGAAGCACTGGGTTGCTTTACCTTGCCTTGTGATCCCTCTATATCAATGCTACCGGTTCTATTCACGCTGCAATATTACATCCACCTACTGAGAGTAGTCCAGGTCATGACAAGTGGCGACGGAATTAACGATGGCAAATTGGAAATATCGGCAGAGGAACTCCGTGCGATTCTTCAGTGACGGCAATCACAGTTCGAAGCCGCTCAGTTTCATCTACTAGATACGCTGACAAGTAACCTGTCTTTGACTTCCAAGCACAAGGCATCGCAAGAAGAACAAGCCAATGTGGAGTCGCTTGTCTCCACAATCCAAGTTTTTCAGGATGATCTTTCATCCGGTGTCACATTCGAGTCCTTTTCAGACGTTATGAGGACATATTCCGTGTGGGATTCAGTGGTAAAGATGATTCATGCCGATCGCGAATACTGCTGCGGTAGTTGGGGGCCAAGGAACACGACCGAGTCGCCAAGTAACACACAGCTGACTCATTCGAAGACACTATTCAATGTCTGACACAGATTTTTGGCGTACATTCCTCAATATTTAGCATACGTTAACACTGTTTGAAATTGGTCAAGAACTCCATGAATGACCACATTACCTACGCAGGTATAGCCCATCGCGAATGCGAAGTCTTCGAAATCACACCCATAACAGAGTCTTAGTTCACATGCTTAATGTCAATTTATGGTCTACAGTCTAATTCCGAAGCGGACATCTACACACGGCTGCTCACCAAGCTGGAACAAGACACCAACATCAAACTGGAGAAAATGGCAGCGGCATGTCAACGCCACATCAACTTGAAGCATGACCATAGTATGGTGGAGTAGAGACAGATCGACATGGTGGATGTATGGCCGGTCAGATCACATCAGCATGAGTGCAAGAAGCTACCTACAGGGTGCTGGAACTGCAGGCATGGCAGCAAGCAACAGAACGCACTTTTCGCCGATATCCTTGTAATCACTGTTGACTGTTACGGTCACAAAGCTGGTTTTTGCAGATCGTATAACAGGACCAGAAATGAGAACTCAAACTCGATTTGCAAAGCCATCGCCAAAGAAGGTAACTCTCAGCACTGTTGCTTCCTACTAAGTCAACCCGGCATTGCGCAGACGCTATCTTACAGTAAATGTCAACGGCTATCCGGAAACACTTTCAGTGGATACTGGATCCGTTAGCACGATCATTTCACAGTCTGTTTGGGGAGTCATCGGGAGTCCCATAGTCTCGCCCATTCAACAAATTACCATCAGCGTAACAGAAATAACTCTGGGATTGATTGGTGAGTTATACTGTTTAGTAACGTACAATGCTCGCACATCTGAGTCTAACAGTTACCTCACTAATCATCTCGGACTGGAGGATTCCTTTGGACGAGTGTAATTCGACACAGAATATAATATCGTTGACTCATATAAAATGTTTTGGAAAACTGGTAGCTCGGGTTGATAATTCAGTTGCTCATTTGTTCGCCGAGCTGAGAAATTTGTTTGCAAATGTTTCACCGCCATGCGAGGAGGCATAATCAGTGCGTCGAGATGTGGAGTGTAATCTCGCTGATTGAATTGTCGACCCGTGATCGGCGTGTAGGTGAGTTTTCGAAAGTGACGGCTTCCATCTGTGTCCCGTGATCTCTACCCATTCCCCCGTGGCGGAGGTCGTCGCTGGAGTTGTTCCCATTCAAGCGGCGTCCCATAATTTCTCTAAGTTCCCTCCGTCGGACGGGTTGGTACACTGGGTCAATCTCGATATGCATGTTGATCCAGTCTTTTGTTGAGAACCACGCTTCCAGGAATTCCCTTGCTCTTCTTGTTTCACCTCGTGCCAGGACTTCTGTTTTGGCCCAAGCAAAGCTGTGTTCTTTTTCATCCACGTGTGCTGAGACCAGCGAAGATGCATAGTGTCGTTGACTCATGTTTAGTCTACGCAGAACCAGTGGATCCCCCCCCCCCCAAATCGTCAAAACAGCCCATTCTCGTACAACTCCACAGGAGTCATCAGGGGGTCACGCGAACCAAAGAAAAGGCCAGAGGATACGTTAATTGGCCAAACATCGATGACGAGATTTGTGAACAGTGTGAACAAAGTACGATGACGCAGATAGCACAAAACCGTACATCCCCAATATCGTGGCCTGGAACAATAAAGCCCAGGTCCAGCGTGCGTATAGATTTCGCTGGGCCTACTGGTGACACGTCATATGTTATTTACGATCGAGGCTCACTCAGAGTGAACAGAGATTATCACATTGATTAACACAATCACAACAGCCACTACTGTTACGTTGTACAATCGCACCTGGCACCCTGGTTCCGTGTGGAAAACCAATAACGTGCAACTGTGCAATAAAGGACTTAGGTTCTCACAATTCTGGCTCACTTAACTTTATGGAGCGCACGGCAAATGTAGCCGCTAAAGCTCGTCGAAGCATTGGCCTCTTATTCAAAACATTCAAAATGCGCGCTTTCATAGCCACCCTATACAAGATAAAAACCCGACCGCTTTTAGACGATTGTGTATTAATCGACGGGAACACAAGAAAAGATGATCGCCAGAAACGGGAAGTTACAGAGATCGTTCACTAAACGTCTGCTGGGAATGTCTTGTCGAATCTCTTACGCACAGCGCTGCAAGGCCTTAAAACTAGACCCGGTATAGCTCAGAAGGATGAAACTTAATTTATGTCTCTTATTCGATATCATACACAAGCGAGTTCATGCCCCAAGCCTGGACTTGAAATTCAATGATGGGTCAAACTATAGTATTCGAGACAGCCACAACTTGCTAAAAATAGAAAGGCCTAGAACCCAGGCACGTACGAACTTTTGAGTGAACGGTTACGCAAAAATACGGAACAGGCTGCCGTCCAAACTGTGAGAATGTAAAGCACCTGAAATCTTTCGTAAAGAGATCCGCAGCTTGTTAACTGTTGAAAAGGCCACCGAGCTGCTGCGACAAAATGTCACGTAGCATATGACATATGAAACCGGTCTAGTAGATATTTAGGATATGGTATCAATCGCCACCATCCTATCCTCCTGCATTCAACATTTTGACAACCCGAAACTGTTTGCCTCAAGAAATCATCCTAACCTGCGGGACAACAATACAGGAAAGTGCCTCACTCAGCCCTGCAAAACAAAACATATAGAGATAGCTAACAAATCTTACGAATTTTTCTAGTCTTCGACCATCGTAACATTTAATTATTTATAAACGAACCGCTTTCCGTATTTCTAACTAATTCTCTTTCCTGCTCGCAGATCTCAGTACAAAAATGTAGACTGCTTCATGGCATACGTCAATGTCAATTTCTACACACCTCGTCTACTAGTGATGCACCGATTCGGAACCACTGTTCTTGTGATAACTTGAATAGAAACCCTTTTCAACCTTCTATTTATAAAATCCGACCAGATCAAACTCAATCTGTATCTCATATCGTCGAGATATAAAGTTTTTCGTTTACCTTTCTATACTTTATATTCATCTTGAAATATTAAATATTTCTTCTAGTTTCCCGAGATCAACAGCCCAGAAGCAGATAGGAATTATCAGTGCTCCGCGATAGCAATTACTGTACTTTGCGAACATAGGCAACTGTCGGATAAACCTGCAGATTCTTTTCAGAACCGTCTCACATATCGATAATCCGAGCGACCACCTATTAAGGCGATCCCACTGCACAGTTTGATCGAAAAATCCGTAGGCATTTCTTGACGGTATTTAAATACTACAATTTCTTCTTTATCATCAGTACAGTATTTACCTTTCCACTCAACTTTTA